ATAAGGAATTTGGTTTAGATTATACCTGACTAGCTCAGTGGTTTTTCCTACTTTCTTCAGTTTAAGCTTGAATTTTGCTATAAGAAGCTAATGATCATAGGCACAATCAGCTCCAGGTCTCGTTTTTGCTGACTGGATAAAGCTTCTCCATCTTCGGCTGCAGAGAATATGATTAATTTAATTTCGGTACTGCCCATCTGGCAATGTCCATGTGTAGAGTCGCTTCTTGTGTTGTTGGAAAAGAGTGTGATGACCACCTTGTTCTCTTGACAAAACTCTATTAGCCTTTGGCCTGTTTCATTTTGAACTCCAAGGCTAAACTCACCTGTTGTTCCTTTTATCTCTTGACTCCCTACTTTAGCATTCCAACCCCTATAATGAGAAGAACATCTTTCTTTGGTGTTAGTTCTAAAGGTGTTGTAAGTCTTCACAGAATTGGTCAGCTTCAGCCTCTTTAGCATCGTTGGTTGGTACATAAACTTGGATTACTGTGATGTTGAAAGGTCTGCCTTGGATTCATATTGAAATCATTTATTTTTGAGTTTGTATCCCATTACAGCTTTTCCCATTCTTTTGTTAACTGTGAGGGCTAATCCATTTCTTCTACAGGATTCTTGCCCACAATAGTAGATATGATAATTGTCTGAATTGAATTCTCCCATTCCCGTCCATTTTAGTTCACTGACATCGAGGATATCAATGTTTAATCTTGCCATCTCCTGTTTGACATTGATATTTTGTAGTAATTTTTCCAGTAGATTTTTATATTTATATGTTTTCAAGGCATCTCTGACTTCACTGTGTAGATTGAAAGGGTTTTCATACATTCAAAAAATCTACAGAAAAGCCTGCCTGAGGGTTAGACACCAAAGCCCACTTTGTTTCTAAATGGATAATTTACAGCCATTCACTAGTAATATACAAGTCCTGTCTCTTTTCACAGTATGTACCTATCAATCTTGTTTCAAGACACTTTACCACTTTTATATTTGGTACAGTCAGAATTTTGTTAAGACGACGCCAGCATGCTTCACTTGTTGAAAGTAGATTTCTTTGTTTTGAATATCCTTCCATCTCAAGCGTCAGCTATGCTTTTAAGCAAGTAGGCAGACTTTTCGGTTCTTTCTGGAAAGCTCCAAAAACTGCCATTTATAGTAATAGTCAACAAAGCGAATAAAATGCTGGATTTCATTCATTTGTTCTGTCTCTCCCAGTGAACTAAAGACAGCATATATCACTTTCTTGTTCCCCTGTTTATCCTCTTAACAAACCTTGTGATGTAGTCTAGACTTAAGAGACAGAGAAAGTTTGGCTCAAGGTTAGCCAATTAGTTTCATAGCCCAATGGGGATGAGAAACTGTATCTTTCAGGTTCCACTACAAAACCACAATACCGCATGTTTTCTTTTCTCCCTAGTGCTTTCTAGTTGTGAAGAGAGTTGTGTATAAGTTAGTTTCCAACATTACATAGAAGTGTGCAGAACAGAGAGCATTTCTCATTCTTATCTTGTTCAGGGATGTCAGAAGCAGTTCTTAGATCCTAGAGGTGCTTCATGCTAGTAGGCCCAAGAACACAAGTCAGCATCTCCTGGATGTTTCATGTGGCTTGTTCCTTTTTTGTAGACAGAGTACTGATACTCTTATTGCATCTTCTCGGAGGGGGCTTGCTTTCCCTCATTTCCTATACAGCAAGGTGTTCATACAAACCACATGAATAAATAATTCTGTATTGGAGGGGGATCATTCCATATACAGTGGGGTCTCTACTTAAGAACTTAATCCGTATTGGAAGGTGGTTCTCAAGTTGAAAAGTTCTTATGTTGAATCTGCATTTCCCATAGGAATGCATTGAAAACCATTTAATCCGTATCTGCTCTTTTCCATCCATAGAAACTACGTATATGAGTCATCTCTATGTAGTAAACAAAAGAAAATTCTTCAAAGACTTTTTTGAGAGTCATGTTATACCTTTTTTGCAGTAATTATACTTTTAAAAAATGTCTTGGCTCCTAATATAGATACTTGAACAGTTTATTTTGGGGATTGTGAGTACAACTGGCTCTGTTTCTTCTCTTTTTCAATGGTAACATTAGTTTAGGATGATATAGAGGTTTCTATAGACTGTCCATTGTAGTATAGTAGATAGAGTGAGGAGATAGGAATCAGGGACCTGGATTTGAATTTCCACTCAGATGTGGGAACTCATGGGGGCATACTAGTAAAACCACTCCTCAAATGTTTCAATTACCTTGAAATCTCTGTGATGTACACATTGGGTATACCTTGGCAACACATAACAGAGTTTTATGTAATATGTCTCTTAGTTAGCTTAGATTACTGAAGATGCTAAAACCCACGAATAAATGATGTTAGTAATTTTATTTGTGAAAAATTTGCTCTAAAGATGCATTGTAAATAGCTCTTCAAGACCTTCGGTCTGATACAGGGTCTGTGGAGGGTGATCTAGGTGAGTATACCCCTCCAATGAATTTTGAAAAGCAACTTTGCTGTGTCGTACAAGTGGACCACTGTCTGAAAAGTAAAGGCAAAGGTTTACTGTAAACACAGGCAAGAAGAGCATGAGCTTTTCAGTGGTTAATAATAGAGACTAAAATTAAAATTGTGAATTATATACCTGAAACAAAACTTACTGAAAAACTTCCAATCGTGCACTAATTTAACCTTAATCTATTTTCCTTAGGGCCAAGATGGGCTTCCTGGAATACAGGCGTCTTTATTTGTATCAGATGTGCAGGGATACATAGAAATTTGGGGGTTCATATATCCAGAGTCAAATCTGTCAACCTGGACCAATGGACACCAGAACAAATACAGGTAAAAAGAAAACTGGATTTCCATTGCACGAAGGGAAAAAAACTCCAGGAAGTTCACACCAGAGCTCTTATAGGCTAAATAGATTATTTTTTGCTCATTCTAAAGGAACTTTTTACTTCTAAAGGAACTTTAGAAAGAGCATCAATATTTTAGTACTTCCAGGCATTCTAGTCTGGAGTATGCTATAAAGCAGCTGCATTTTGCCTTTTTTTGTGTGGATTTCTGCACTTCTGCTTATCATAATGTCTGCCTCTTGAACAGTGCTTGAAAAAAGTGCTTTTGTGGCACTTTCTTCTGGTATGATGTCGTTTCATATGCACAAGATTGGCACATGCGGTTGTTTTTTCTGCTTCCCCACTGTGAAAAATTATTGTTGATATCTTGTATGTTGCATCTATTTTGTTATATATCTTTCTACTTGATAACATGAACAATGTACTAAATTTTTATCTCTGAACATTTCCAACATGGAGATACATGTTTAAGGAATGGAGAACGGTTCCTCACTTCTAAGTTTAATATTTAAATAATATATTTATATACTGTTCCTCCTTGTATGATTCAAGTAGCCTACAAACATAGTAAATAAAATACAATAAAACCCACTATCTCACCACATGTAACTGATTCTTTGAGTGAAGGTTTTAAAAACAGTGTACAGAATGAGTGTTTCACAGTAGTTATTTTCCTAACAAAAACAGAAAACTTCAATGGCCTGTGAATGACACTGGTTCTTAACGAAGAGTACTTTACCCATGAAAATAGTTAAAGTAAAATTCTACAGATTTTAATCAAACAGGACAATCAGTTGTCAAAATGCAATCTAAGGGAAATAGTCTAAATAACAGTAATCATTGCACCAAAATTTAGAAACAATTAAAGTTATGTTAAAAGTCAATGATCTGTGTAGGATGATTTGTGTAAAATGCTGAACTATGGTTTAATGCTGTGTGCATAATCTGAAGCAAAACTACAGGTTCATTTGCTGTCCTGTCCTCCGCCTTCATGCCTGAGTAGAGGACATCTGCCGTTTCCCACAAATTCTGATTTGTTGATATAGATGAACAAGAAATCACAGTCAGTTTGTAAATAAGTCAGCTTTAGATACTGGGTTTGAAGTGCTTTCTGTAGAAGCTGGTGTTTTCAAAATGTTTGGTTTGGAGAAAGTGAAATTAAATTCTGCTGAATTTGTAGTACCAGCCACTTGAGGAGAGCAGTGGGGAGAGGGATCACTTAGGATTGTTCTAGTTTCCGTTCGTGACATTGAATCATGGCTAAGTGAAAGCAGTCCTATAAGGTAAAGTAGTTGAAATGTTTTCAACAGTGCTGTTACATTCTTTTCTTCATTATATAAGAGAATAATAATAAATATTATAATTTATGTAATCCCACCCCAGTAGAGCAAAATGTGTGTGTAGATGGTTAAGAAGAATTTGTATAACCCCACAGTACACTTAAGCAAGCCTAAATCCTGCTGGTATTTGAAAATACTGTATCCTCTTGATGTAATCTAGGTCTACAGTGGTAATATATATTGGACAAAATTCTGTTGGCATAAATTTACCCATGAACCATTAAAATTTAAGTAAAATTAATTAAAAGCTTCATACCCCTCTGTTTTAGGTTCTGAAATGCTCTTGGGCTCTGTTTTGCCCTAAAGAAGCATTTGGAAGCTTTGGGACAGGGCAGGAGCCTTTAATCACCAAAAAATGTAGCCAGATCATCAGCTTTTGCCATATAAATTTGTTCATTGTTTCTACCTAAAACAATTATCTGTTGTAAAGGAGTTCACAACAACAACAACAACAACAACAACAACAAAAGGGAACTGACAAAACGAGAAGAGATTTAAGATGCAGAGATTTCAGTAAGATATTTCTGTGTGTAGCAAGCAGTTAGTCTAGATACTTGCTTTAGGTTTTTCCAGCATCTGTGATATCTTTGTCCTGCTCAAAGCATGCAAAGTATGTTGGTATACTTGTGTTCACTGAATAGAATGCATGGGAGCGGGATTAAGACTTTCATGATTTTGGGAAATGGGGATATGCACCATTTCAAAAAGTTGTTACTGTGTATTTACACATTTTAATACCATTGCAGGACCACTTAGTCATATTTACTCAGAAATTCCTCCCACTGATCTTGATAGTACCGTATTTCCCCGAAAATAAGACAGGGTCTTATATTAAATTTTGCTCCAAAAATGCATTAGGGCTTATTTTCAGAGGATTTTTTTTCATGTACAACAATCTCCATTTATTCAAATACAGTCAGGTCATCTTCTTCTGGTTGCTGCACAATACTGCACAATAGTGGAGGGTGGGGTTTCACTTAACTGGGATTTATTTTGGGGGTAGGGCTTATATTACGAGCATCCTGAAAAATCATACTAGGTCTTATTTTTAGGTGGCACTGTTCAAATTGCAGTACATCCAGTCTAAGCAGTTTCAATTAAGAATTACAACTGTCATGTCTCTCTCTTTCCTTCTATCTCTTTCTTGCCCCTGCCCCCTTTTCAGTGCATGCAGGACATGGGAAATACCAAGGCACGGTTACTTTATGAAGCTAATCTACCAGAGAACTTTCGAAGACCTCAAACAGATCAGTATCCTTTGTGCAATGCTATACTGTATAAAAAGAAAGATTGAATTATTACATAGTGGCTGAAATTCTATTGAGTGGGCTATTTTTGCATAACTCAGCATTACACAAGATGTAGCCATAATAGTGCCAGGGCTGTTCACAAAGTTCTTCTGCAAGTACATTGTCGAATCAGTTGCAACAGGAACACTTGTGACTGATCATGCAATTGACTCACATAATGCCTACCAAAGCTATGCCTGCATTGGATTCTGTCTGTTCTGTTCATCTTAATGGTTTCACAATGGGCATATGCTACATAGTGATTAAATAGAAATAATGGGTTCAAAGGAAGAGTTGAACAAAATTGTGCAGCTGGCATCGATTAAAAAAATATAATTTCTAGCCGAATCAAAATATAATACATATAGGTGTGACAATATGTTCAGTTAAATAGTGTTGACGTGGGGAAAACATTGTGATAAGAGTTGAGTTTGGTAAATACAGTGGTGCCTCGCATTACGATGTTAATTCGTTCCAGTGAAATCGCTGTAGAACAAAAACATTGTAAAACGATTTTTTAAAGCCCATAGAAATGCATTAAAGCCTGATTAATGCGTTCCTATGGGCTTGAAGCTGTCTAGTGAAGATCTTCCATAGCGTGGCCATTTTCGCTGCCCATGCAGCGAGGAATCCGTCCCAGAAAACAGTGGGCGGCCAATTTTTTACCCGGCGGCCATTTTGAAACCACCAATCAGCTGTGGGGAAATCGTCGTTTTGCGAGAATTGGTTCCCAAAGCAGGGAACCAATCATCGCAAAGCGAAAAAACCCCATAGGAAATATTCTTTTGCGATCGCTTTTGCGATCGCAAAAACTTTGTCGTTATGCAATTTCGTCATAAAACGGAGTGCTCATCTTGCAAGGCACCACTGTATGTTAACTCTTGATAGAGAAATAGAAAATAAGAACTGTATCCAGCCTTCTCCTTTGTCTGAGAGGATAGTCCCTGACATCTTTGTTTGTGCAGTGTAGATTAGTCTTTTGAGAAAGGACCAAACCACTCCTGTAATGTACCTGTTGCAGAATTGGTGTTGGATAAATGAAGAGCGAGGAAGCTACAGTAGTATATTAGTACTCTATTATAACTGGTGTTGGGCATGAATCTTGAAATTGGCTAATAGAAACTAACTCCTACAGTACAAAAAATCTCTCTCCCATTTTAACCTTGGCCAAACACAGCAGCTTTTCAAAGTGGTTTGTAATGAGTTTATGCCACTGCTTATTGCCATTTTCCTGATTTGCCCTCCTTTCCCCTTTATTCTGCATTCTCTCAAGCTTATAAGAATTGAGAGGTGAGAGGTAGACAGAAATGCTGATTAAACCTCGAGGGTTCTTCCAGATTTTTTACTCTCCTCAATGAAGCTTTCTGAAGATATTTATTGCCTCCATAAACAACAGGAACTATAAAATCAAATAGCACAGTAGAGAATGCTAGTGACACTTACAGTGAAGGAAACATCCCTTCTGCCCACACCTCAGTTTGAGTCTGAAGTACAAAAAAGCTGGGGAAAATTTAAAGAGATCTTACCAAATTTGAACCAGTCCTCCTTGTGAAATTACTTCTCACATTAATTTTGAGAACTAATTCAAAATCACTTGTGGCAGGTTGACAAAGCTATGGAGCCTTGTGATATCAAGCACTGAATGGTACCGTGTTAAAATACACATTAAATCTGAGGCTGTGTGCTAATATAGCATTTCATTTCTGGCTTACCTGGACTGTAACGTTAAATGTTCTGTACTGTAAACCTTCTTTATTTTAATGTTTTGCCTTAAGTTACCTTATTTCAGAGCTGTGGAATTTTTTATCAGGGATAAATATGAGAAGAAGAAGTACTATGACAAAAATGCACTTAGTGTCATCAATGTAAGCAGAATTATTCTCTTCTGAATTTCAACTAACCATATGAATATAAACATATAATTGTGCTATGCATAATATAAACGTTTTGTTGAATACTAAATATAGATAAGTTGCAGGGGTATTACTGGACTGACTGTAGGTTAAATGTAACTAATATCTATACATATGAATGAAGAGATTCATTTTTGTTACCGATAATCATGGAATTGGTGTGAACCAGTTGTGTGAAAAATAATGACCCTTAACTATTAATTAGTTATACCATCAAAATTTGAACTTTGTCTTGTAGATTACTAAAAGATATGTTCTGTAAAGCTGAAACTGCAGTTTTTATTCAAACTGGATCATTGCTAACTCAGAAATAATTAATACACAGTTTCAGACAGAGGTCCAGCTCTGGGTCAGGATGTAGCTGCTGGTTTTGATCCAAGATGGAAATCCAGTAGCAGTCATGCCAGTTTAAAGACTTTCAGGAGGGTGATAGGATTTACAGTAGAATGTGTGCAGGAGGTAAGAAGTGGTGCATCACAGTTGTAGGTAACCTCGGGATTCTTGAGGAACAAAATTTTGCTCCGAAAACTCAGAAATTGCCATTTTGGTACATGTTCCTTTTTAAAATATTGTCCTAAAGACCAACAGTTTCCACTTCTTTACACAAGAAATGTAAATAAAAGTACTACATGTACTGTGTTAACAGTGTTTTTTTTTTTTACTCTTAAGGTTTTTTTATAAGGCATTGATCAGAAATGTAGATCAAATCAGAATGTTACCACATGCTTTTTTTAAAGCTGCTGTTATTTTCACTTAGGAAGGTAACTTGTATCTTTCAAACCATGATTGGTTGGGGTTTTATCATGGGGAAACCCATATTGATTTTATTTCTGCACCAACCAAATAAATTTACAGGGGAAACATGTCTTTCAAAATATTAGATATAGTTTGGCCTGGAAGAATTCAAAGTAGCAGTTTGAAAATATTAAACAAAATTAAGTGAGAGCCAGCTCTCCCATGAGCTACACATCTCAGCCAGTGAATGAATGGCCAGTTTAAATTTGTTTGCAATGGCAGTTGCTTCCATTGTAGCAAAATAACTGCAACACAGGAGGTCCCTGTGTTGTATTTGTTACTGCATGTGTCTCGAGAAACACATTAAATTGCACACATTCTGAGAATACAACAGACATGCAGTCTTTGAACCTTTTCAGATTAGTCCCAGTGGCACACTCACACAGTGAGATTTCTCAGGGGTGTTTTATTGAAAATCAGGAAATACAATATTTACAATAATTGCATTGGGGAATAGCAAATATTACTCCATGATTCCTAATAGGGAATCAGTTAGTTCATGCATGACATGGTCCAGTGTATACTAAATAAATAAGATAAATGACAGGAGAAATAAAATAACTTCCATAAAGCATGCTTTGCTTGAAGTAGGGGAAGATAAGTGAAAATGGTGCACTCACTGTAAAAGCTGAGGTCATGAAATTCTAGACTATATGGCTTGAGCAGATGCCAGTGGGTTGAGTTTCACATCTGAAAAATTATAGTAGCCATAATACAGCAAATTTGAGAATCTCACACATTTTTTGGAAGAGAAGAAAGAGAGAAGGGGTACAGAAAACAGAAATGAGAAAAAGTATTCTGGGTAATTACTGAAAGATAGAAGGGGTATAGAGACTAATCCTTGTGCTGGTTCACAGTCCCAAAAGGAATAGGCAGCACAATAAACTTCTAACAATTGTTTAACTCATTCAAGGCAGATGCCTTTCTCAAGATCCTTTTGTTTTCCACTTAGGAAACTGTTAGGTGCCTGATTTTGTTACAGACTCTGAAGTTCATTCTGTGTCTTACCAAACACCCTCAGAGGACCCATTAAGATAGGGATTAAGTCTGGGGGAGAGAAGAAACATAAGAGGAACCAACCATACCAGAAGAAGTATGGCCACAAGCCCCATCCTTGAAACACCAGAGAAAATACTGGCTGAGATTACAATCCTAAATGGTTTTTAAAAATTGATCTAATATTTCTCTAAGCACACTGATAGAAAAGAAGGTGCAGAGCAGGAGACTACAATTTACAGGGAAAGAATTTCTAGAATGCAGAATAGGGCTTTCAAGGTATGTTCTCTTGAATCTCTTATGAGAGACATCTGAGAGTACAGAAATTCCAGTTACAGTGGTGCCTCGCAAGACGAGGTTAATGCGTTCCGCAAAAATCGCTGTCAAGTGATTTCGTCGTTAAGCGAAACACGGTTTTCCATTGAAATGCATTGAAACCCTGATAACCTGTTCCAATGGGAACGGATTGCCATCGTAAAGCGAAATCGCCATAGGAAACATCATTAAGCGAAACACGTTTCCCAAGCAAACACAGCCGTCTAATGAAACAGCGACCATTCAAACGCCCGTTTAGCGAAGCGAACCTGAGCTGTCAAAACCATCGTAAAGCGAAACACGGGGACCCAAAAATTAACCATCTTGCGAGGCAATGTCCCCACCATCGTAGAGCCAAAATCGCCCATAGGAAACATCGTTAAATGGAGTGCAAGATCGCTCCGGAAAACTAATTGTTAAGCGAATTCGTCGTTAAACGAAGCAGTCGTCTAGCGAGGCACCACTGTACTGTTGAAAAGAAAAAGTAGAACTTAGCAAAGATACCCAACTAAATAGATCCTTGGATGCCAGAATTGAGACACTTAGGAGGAGAACCTGATGAGGTCTTCTGCTAAAAATCCTATGCCATTGTCCACAGCAGGATACCCTGAGGGGATGTGACCCCTTCAGCTGAGTGTGTTGAGAGCTTCGGCCAGATTAATGATCCTCCTTATCCTCAGAAGAAACTACTTGGAACATTTGCTGACTGGAGTTACATTTATGATCCATGTTCTTTGTGTGTGCTAAGATGTCTGTACATTGGTGCCTCGCAAGATGAAAATAATTTGTTCCATGAGACCTGTCGACTTTCAAAATTTTCATCTTGCGAGGCAGGTTTTTCCATAGAAATGAATTCAAATTTAATTAATACATTCCTATGGGCAAAAAAAAAGACTCTGAAAAAGTCAATTACCAGGTAGAGAGCTGGGGAAGCACCATTGGAGGACTGATGGGGGTCCCCTGCAACCACGATCGCTGCTTTCAGAGGTCTCCCGGCAGTCCTCCAATGGTGCTGGGCAAGCCACCATGTTTGAATTTCCTACCCTTTTCCCCTTCCTTTTTCCGTTCTGAGGCTTGCCTCCAATGGTCCTTGGCAAGCCTCCGAACGGAAAAAGGCAGGGGGAAAAAGGTGTTACCAACAGTGGCTTCCAGCAGCATTTGAAATACCATATCTGACTTATGGTACTTCTTTCTAACGTCACAAGTTAGTGATAATGATACAAATTGAAGAGGCTGCTGCTCAGTGATAGTGTGCTTTCCACAAAGTTAGTTACAAGTCCAATTGTTGCAACCTTCAAATAAAGGATTTCTTATTAGTCTCACACTTTGGAGCAGGAATCCCCAATCCCTGGCCGTGGCCTTGGGAGGACTGAGCTGCAGAGACAGATATCCCGCCCCCCACTCCGCCCATGCACACCCACCTGCACGCATAGCCCACCCGCATACACGCACGGGTGTAATGCCGATCCGCGCATGCGCTCGAGGGCCCCCCAGCCCCCGCAAACAGTCCACAGTTTGGAAAAGGTTGGGGACCACTGCTTTGGAGAACCACTGCCGATCAAGGTAAACCCAGAATTGCAAGACCCATCACAGCATACATGCATAAACCCACCACCCAGCCCAAACCCATGCTGCAAAACCCACCCTCTCAGAGCAGCCAGATTTTAAAAAGTAGAAAGCAGCACCTTACCAGGCAGTCCAGAGCCTCCTCTAAACACACACCCTCTAACCGCTGGGGTGAAAGAGCTACAAAGAAGCAGCCTCGTCGCAACCAACAGTTAGCAGTTTGAATTCCCCACCTTTTTCCTTGCCTTTTTCTGGTTGTAACTCAAAGCTCCGGTTGAAAGTAGAAGCAAAATTTTGCGGCTGGAGCTGGTTGTAACTTGAAATGGTTGTAAGTAGGGACCGTCACAAGTCGAGGCACCACTGTATATTATAGCATTCCAAACAGGAACTCAACTAAGACATGTGCTACCACAGCCAAATCGGACAAATTCAGGAAAGGGCACTGTTGATGCACTAGTTTTAACTGTGCAGACACATTCCTGGCCACTACCAGAACCTGGGAATCCAAGCTGTGAGATGAATTCAGGAGAGCACCCAAACTGCAGATGTATGTGTTCAGGATAAATCGGCATTTCATTTTGCCTTTCAGCTGACCAACAGCACCTCTGTGTTGTCTAGATTAACCTTCCGTTTGTTTGCCCTCATCCAGTCCATTGCAGATACTTGACACTGGTTTAGAAACAAACATATTTCTTGGATTTAGATGTGGTAGATAAGTAGAGTTGGGTGTTAGTGGTGCTGAATGCGAAATCATATGCTGTGCTCTGTCATGCCATGCTGTGCTCTGCTCTGCTATAATATCTTGGCATCAAACAGAAATACAGTACCCATCACCATGCTCTAAGCCCATCCCTTGAGGAATGACCAAACTATTGCAGACTTCTCTCTAAGTTTGATCCTAGAGAGGCAGCCTAAAAAAAATCACAGTTCATGCATCTAAAGTTCCTTCTAAACTTACAGGGACATGATCCCTCATCTATGTTCTGGCATAAGCCATCCACTGAGACAACTGAAACTGTTTCATCCCATAACCAACCTTGAATCCAGAGCAAAATGGATCTAGTGAATCTTTTGTCCCAATGGCCCATTTGCTGTCGCCACCACTGTTTTTATGGGCGAGGAAGGACAGGGGCCATTCACCTTCTCAGGCTGTAAAAATGGAAAAGCATCATTTTTTTACTGCTCAAGCATGGGCCTTCCACACAGACTGTATCAAGTGCAACATCCAAATCAAAACATACCCAAGTGATATTATACCTATGTTCTATGCAAATGGATCACAGCAGTCTGTCAAGTTGTTTATTTTCTCCTTCCATGGGTCAAAGCATAATAAATTACATGTCACAGAAATCCTCCCACTAGTGATGAAGTAAGTGGGATGCAGACTACAGCAATGATTCTAGGCTTCCTAAGGTTTGCTAGAGTCTGACCAAACATAGGATAAAGCACACTGAAAAGTCTTTTCTGTGGAAGCACTTGAGGGGGTGGGAGAAATTCCTTTTGCCAGCATGGTATCTGTTCAATTGTCTAGGAAAGCTGTTTCAAATGGGCCTATTTTTCTGCAACCTATGTTTAAGCTTATGAGTGGGTTTGAATATGTTTATGAGTAATCTGGTGAGGTGAGGAAGGCCAGATTACTCATAAACATGTGTTGCTTATGAGTTCAAATATAGGTTGCAGAGAAAATGTGAAATGTCATAGAAATCCGCCTCCTATTCATTACCCTTGGTGGGGGGGCATGCATGCTTAGGAACAATTATGTCAACTTTCCTGGTAATTTCCATCAGTCTGTAGACCTACATTCCAATATGAAAAATGTTTGTATCTTAAATTGTAAAGGACATCTTTTTTTCCAGTCAGAACCAAATTGCTATGTTGGGATAAGGTATCGATTTTGAAGTTTTTGACCAATAAGAAAAATTGTATGAGTCACAAAATGCCCCACATAAGTTCCTGTTATGTGTTTGGCATTGCAACAGTTCTAGTTTGTGTGAAGAAGTGGACAAAATAAGAGGACATGGGATTTTTAGTGGACATTGAGTGTATGCAGTATCTTAAGGGCATGTGAATGAGAGGAAGAAGAACCTCTGAAGATGTTTCATCTATCTAGTTTCTAATCATCAAAAAGTTTGGGTACATGGTTTCTGGCCCACTATAGTTTTACGTGTAGGCACCCAAAACCTGTTGCTAGTCACAAGTTATAAAGAGCTTTCTCAAGTCTTCTGATCATAACTGTACATTAGGAGCATATGAAAATCTCTGAAAGTACTTTTAAATAAAACTCATTTACTTTTGATAATTGCATGTATTCATGAACAGAGTGAATAATATGGTGAGATAAGAACCACCATGCTGGTTGTATTTGTATGTAGATACACTCAAAAGACTATACAAACTGCATTATAATATGCCTGACAATTTTTAGTTAAAGAGCTGTTGCTTATTAACTAACATTTTCCCCATTGCTGTTTTGAACTGGAAGGCTTTATTTGCAAGTTATACATTTAATTAGAGTTGGGAATTATTTTCTTTTATTCTTAAAATAAATAATTCTGTTAGAATGAGTAAGAACAAAGGCACCTTCACCTCCTTCCATTCCCCATGGGGCAGTGTTCTTTTCCAGTTCCAGGGCATTAATATTTCAGCAGTCACGCTGAATAAATCTGAACAATAGATGAAACTTAATTATTTTCCTTCATATTTGTGATGTGATCTTATCTAAGTTCATTCCTTATTTTATATTCTACTGAATTCATCCATAAACCATTCACTATAACCTGATAATTTTTCACCTTTAAAAATAGTTTTAGTAAAATTCAGAAAGATGAGGGGATGGCAGACTGTATGAATGTTTCTGCACAATAGTAATTTTTTTTTTTGCAATGTACAGTTAAACTCCTAGATTGAGCTCAGGTAGTCTCTTCAGAATCATATTTTTTAAAGAATACAAGATATTTTTTATTATTTCAGTAGCAAAGTTAGCCTAGACATGTAGCTCTCTGCATTAATCATTTTGCACTGTCTTTCTTCTTTCTGTCCTGCCTTTTCTGCATTTTTATCAGCATCTCCTAAATAGGTAACCATAAAACACATGGATGGCTATTCTGTATCTCATTAGTTAAAGCTGCTTTGGTGCTTTTTCTCATCTTTCACCTACACAGATGTCTTCCTCTGATCCTCCTCAGTCTCTGGCATCCTCTCCTTCTCTGCAAGCTGCTTCTGAGAAAAGCAAATCAGAGGTATTCCTCTTCCTAAGATACATCTTATCCTGGATTGCAGATTTTCTCTGTATTTGATATCCACGATAATATGCAATAAATCCTGTCAAGTAATACCATGTCATTGGGACGGCAGCAAATATTTTAAGAATGTCCAGAATCATGTAGGGCTACAGTGGCAAAGCCCTATTTCCCTTCCACAATCTGTTGGACTCCACTTTTTCACCAGCGGAAGTCAAGTGTTTGATATTCTCTGATATATGAAGTGTAATTGTAAGGAGGAGCCCTTAATAAGGCACCAGCTTAAGGCTAATCATGGTCACTGTCAGCATGGAGAGAACATTAAAGTGTTATGAAAACTATGAAGAGACGGGAGTATTACCTGGACACCTTTTGTAAAGCTTTCCTCTGTTTCTTTAAGAAAATTATCAGAGGAAAATCCTTACCATTTTTCATGTATTTGAAGGGTCACAAGATATGAAGTACAGCCTGATGATAGCATTGTGTAAATTTGCTGTAAATATATTAAAATAGTGTGACTCCCAGTTCCTACTTAGATAAGTGTCTTTCTGAGGTACTGAATCCTTCTTGAAATACTGATTTAAATAATCTTGAATGGAAATATATTTTGATATTTTAAATGTTCACTATATGTACTAACAGGTAAAATACCTTTTCTATAGAAAGAGAAGGAAAAAAAGAAAGAAGAAAAGAAAAAAGACAAAGAACCAGAAAAAACTTCAAAATCCTTAGGAGCTGAAAAAGTAAGACCAGTTTTTCTTTGCACTTCTGGATATTTAAAGAGTATATTATCATTTGTAATTAAAATTTGTTCCTTGAAATGAATGAAACAAGTATTAGTGTGGATAATGATAATATCGGTAGTTTGAATAACTGTGAAAGCTTTAAAAAGATAACAATACTGTTTAGCAGCATGAATGATATGGAAATCTCAGTTGGAAGGGCATATGACACAAAGATGCTCCTGAACGTTTCTGTCAAATGTACCCAAAAGAAAAAGAATAAACTTAACTTTTTTAAAAATTTCTGAAATTATTTTCCTTGGGTACCTTTTTGTGCTAATAATAGCTGACACAAGTTATCTGAGGGAGAGTCTTTATCTAGACAGGAATCTTGGTTTGTGTAACATGACAATTAAGTAGAGTTCCAGATCTGTTTTAAATCATGTCTAGAGATGGGGACCATTTTGGCGAGTCGTCCCACTTTGTGAGTTATCAAAAGTTGATGACTCACGAAGCAGGAAGTTGCCCCCATGAAGCGATGAATAATAGTTATTCATTGATTGGGGGGGGTGTTATTAGTAAAACCACCCCTGCTGCCACCCCACCCACTGCCGCCCCTCCCTGCCGACACCCCCTTACTGTAATCGTCATTGCTGAGGTCTCCATCAGGCCTCTGCAGCCATGGCATGTAAAAAGGGAGACTGGTTGCCCTTTGCAGCTTCCCTACCCTTATATAAAAATGTATTAAGGAGCAGTGCAGATATGAAAGCTGCCCAGTTTTTTGACCTGCATTGAGTACTGGTTTGATGACAGCAATGTGCTTAATTCAAATTATAGGAATACAGTGAAGTCAAAGAGATGTAGATTTCATGAAATAGTCTTTGATGTGTGAGCATCGGTTTAGTTTCTCAATAGATGCTATAGAATTTTTGGTCTAGAAAGTGACCAGAAGAATAAAGGTTTAGAAGAAGTTAGTCTGTGCTAGCATGTCAGGCAAAAAAACAAACAAACAAAGAAGAGAAAAACTTCGTGGCACCTTAAAGACTAACTACTGTATTTTAATATGATCTTTAATGGACAAGCCCACTTCTTCAGATGGATGAACACTTTCAGTAATATTTTAAATTGTTAGACAATTTAAAATTTCTTTTAAGGGTTTCTTGTAATAGGACATAAAGTGCCCTGTGAGACATATTTTACTATTGAAAGTGGTAGTCCATGAACAAAGAGTTCTTAAAAAATTGGTGGCCATTCTTCTACCTGGATTTTTTGCATCCAAAACCAGACCTCTTCAAGTGCCAATGACTAGGGCCAAAATCCTATTGGGAGAAACCACATGAATGGTTTTTCTCTTTAGCTGTATACTGTATCATGCAACCAGTTCTGCAATTGGGGGATGACCAGGCTTGCAACCATTTGGGGGATGACCAGCCTGAAAAATAAGTGGAATTGGTTGTGCAATTTCCATTATGGGATTGTGTCAGGTAGTTGGAGTCTAGCTTAGACATATTATTTTAAATCTGTATTTAAACTTAGTTTGTCCTCCCATATAGAAGGTCTCATTCTTCCCCCCCTTTTTTTTTTTTGGCTATTAGTTTACCTACAACAGGAGTGGAAAGATGTGGCCCTCTAGGTTGGTTGGATTGTAGCAACCACCATCCACCACTGTTGGTCAGCACTGGTGTGAGTTGCAGCTTCTTGGAAGGTCACATATTTCCTTTCTTTGACCTTCCTTATACAGTCTTGTTTATAGATTATGAGCAAATTTTTGAACTGAATCCTTTGGTTCTCTCATACCTGCTGCAAATAACTGAGTAGTTATGAATATCTCTCTGGTACAAGTAAAGCAGCTGCTTGAATGACTTGAGTATCTGTTTTTCGTGCTTTAAATGTAAGCCCATAGACATTGCTTCTTAACAGTTTAGATGATTATCTACCTATCTCAGTATCCCAAAAATGATTGGGCAGCAGGTCTCAAGAGGTCTTTTGCAACCTCATTTAGAGATCTGGGGATCCAAACTGATACAAGGTGAGATGAGTCAAGTGCTATGTCTTCCTTTCTTAGATGAGATCCAAATGATTGGCTCCACGTTGCTGAGAGAGATCATAGAGATCTGTAGTGAAAGCCCCCTTTGCCTACCTCCTTAGGATAAATCCTCCTTGTATCATTGATACTAACCGTTGCATTTCTCCTGCTAATGACATTACACTCTGCACCAACCTGGAAGCCCCATCAGCCATGTTTTACTGTTCTTCTTCATGGTTGTATATATGGTGGTCAGACATGCCAAGTCTCAGATCACAGAATGGGGGTAGGTATGTGATCCTGATATCAAGTTGCCTCGACTTACGGTGTGGCAACTCCATCCTCTGTATGTCTGCCTAGGAATATCTTTGTTAACAGATAAAAAAAACCTGTTCCCTTGATCTTACGACACTAAACTGACTTTAGGTTTATTTTATTAATATGCTGCCTTTTTCTCTAGGGGATTCAAGGTAGTTCAAAGAGTAAGGAGGTGGATAAGAATTAGATTAGGCTTAGTAATAAAACTGAATTGCCTGGATTAGCTCAGTGGTTTAGGTATCTTGCTGTGAAGCCATAGATCAAGAGCCAGCCTATGTAGACATGGGCAAGCTAAACAGTCCCAGGAAACCCCTAGAAGAAGGGAATGGTAAACCACTTCTGTGTATACTCTTCCTAGAAAACCCTGGAAAGGATTTGCATCAGTCAAAATGTACTTGACAGCATGCAGTTATTACTATTCGTAATAAAGCTACACTTTACTGAAACTGTTTTTGCAGTAAAAATTACTTAATTGAATTCAGGTGAAGTGAGGTAGCATGTCGATTACCTGAGGGTTGGCTGTGTGGTGAGAGTGGGAAATACCAGAGTGAGTGTGGCAATAACCAAAACATAGGAGCAACTAAAGGTTGGTGGTAGTGACTGATGAAGATTGTAAGATAAATAAATGTTAAAATACATGATTATTCCTGTGGGTTGTGAGCCAACACAGGCCTAATAGTTCAAATGGCAAGCTAGAAAGATGATATATATGGTGAGTTAAGGGTATGACAGATTTAAAATAATTATAATTAAAAAATCATAAGACACAACATTAAAAAACAATTAAGCATACAACAATAATAAAAACCACAATTAAAAATACATTTGAAACATTTAGAAAACATTTCAGTAATCTCTAAATTCAATAGATATGGTATTCCAAAAACCCACACACTGTTTCAAAGGCTGCCTCACACGGAAGGTCTTTGCCAGATGATGGAAGGACAAGAAGAGGGTCGGAAGCCTGACTTCCAAGGGCAGTGCATTCAGAAGAGTGGGAGCAGCCACTGAGAAGGCTCTCAGTTTGTTCTCACAAGTTTTAATGAGTTACAAAGGGTTGGGACCATATGTGGAGACTGGGTGAGGTCAAGCTTTCTAAAGCCAGTATGTGCTGAAGAGTATATATATATGAGTGCATTGGTAGCTTGAAGATTACAAATTACAGATCAGCAGCTTGCCTACAATAAATGTATGTGGGTTCTTTTTCTTAGGCAGAGTAATTCACATTTTTCTTTGTGTAATTTGACATTTATCTTGAAGACAAATGGGATTAATTTACAAGGCCAGTAGTCATGGCATCTTCTATTGGCTTCTGGCAGTAAGGGTAAAAAGGTTACACGCTTTTAAATAATATTTTAAATAATATGAGCTGCAAATAATTTGTGTTCTACTAGAAAGAAATAATTGTGAGTAGTTACCATATCTTTTAAGCATATTTTTAAAGACAAAAACATAAATGTATTTATTATATAATGTTTAATTAAATTGGTAGTTGGGGATTTTAAAGGCACACAAATTTATCCAAACCATTAAATCTCTTAAGTACTTTTTAGTTTGCATTTTCTCTTGATATGATACTGTAGTGAACCATGCCAGTTCTCTCCATTCATTCATTTATTCATGAAGTTCATGAAATTGACATGAAGATTGTATCAACTCCATGAAGCAATAAGCAAATTACCACTCATTAAACATCTCATTTACCTGGAAAAGCCCTATTAGGGCCAGTGTAATTTGGTTCTGACTTGACAGCACATAACACAGAGACATCCATAAAACTTTATATGCCCAAAAAGGTGGATCCAATTCTGTTACACTTTCAAGAAGATTGATGTAATATAGTAACAACTTTGAAGAGAGGAGATTTTGTTGATTGCATGATCATTCCAAAAGTTTCATTTCTAGATAAACAACCTGTCCTTGATTCCTCCAGAAACCATAGGCTGCAGGTACGAGAGTGATTTTGAACTCTCTTGCTAGAATGGTTCTTTCTACCACAAAAATAAGGATATTGAAATCAAGTATTTCTTCATCTTTTTCATTGAACTCTAAAACCATTTCTTCATGTAAAACTATATTTTCACCTTGTGTAGTGTTAGAGTTCTGTGTAATTCCCATCAAATCTGATTTAATAAGAAAGATCTCCTTGTCTCTTATATTTAGGGTTATCTTAATTTACAATAGTTTTAGTATAGTCTTTAGGATAATATTTCAAACACTGTATTTCTTGTCATATTTATAACCTCATCTAATGTTGCTTCTTAAACAGAAAACAACATACCTGTTCATTTTCCAACATTTGGTTTTTAATATTTGTGAAAGCCACTTTGACACAGAGCATGACCTGCACTCTCCAAGTATTTGCTAAAATCTTTTAATTCCTGTGTTGAACACTGTGGAACAAATAATCACTCAAGTCTGCTTGGCACATTTTGTATTGATCACCTGGGGTTTTGTACAAGCCTAGAGAGAAACAACTAAAAATGAAACAAATTTTAATTATTTTTTTTCCTTATTGATGTTCTATTAAATATTATTGTAAAATAGATTTGGGCAGTATTAAGTGAGAAGAGAAAAGAATGTAGATAGAACAAGGTTAAGCCTCTAGTTGTGAAAAGTATACAGGCTAATCAAACATTGCGTGAACAATACTCAGGTAGTACAACTGGACTTTCTC